TAAATCAGTCAAGTACTCATATTCTAATGGGGAAATCTTTATGGTCATACATGAAACAAAAGCACCCATTTTATTTCCATGAATTTCTGAAAGAGAAAAACAAATCTACAGTAAAATCCATCAGTGAACACTGGGATGGGCAGTTAGGAGAGGAGTGATTATAAAGGGGGAGAAGGGACCGGAGAGTTGGCTCACTGGATAAGAGCACTGGCTGATCTTCCAGAAGGTCTGAGTTCAATTACCAGCAACCACTTGGTGACTTATAGCCATCTCTCAAGGATTCTGATGCCCTCTTCTGGTTTTCAGGTGTACATGCAGACAGAGTACTAATATATTTTTTAAAAATTAATAAATTAATTAAAAAATAAAACGTGTTATACAGTAGGAGGAAGGAACTTTAGGAGCAACGAAGATGTTCATCATCGAGACTGAAGTGATGATTTCATAAAACTATATTTTATACTTTAAGTACGCACAGCACAGGGCACATCAATTCAACCTTAATGGAACTTTAATAAAAGAAATGGTTCAGTACAAATGGAATGGTTAAAACACAAAAATATGGATTTCATTTCTACTGAAAAACAAGAAAGTTTGGAAAATGCACACTGGTCTCACCCTCTGGGATAGAGGGCTACTTTGAAGGACACAGAACATCATGAATAATAAAGATTGGCTTTGAACCCCTGGTCACACACATGGACTGGTATATTTTTCCTTTCTCCTTGTTCTGGCCCACGTAGTCCAGGGAATCCAGTAACATTTGATCATCTGCCATTGCTCTGAGTATCGACAGAGAAACAGCCAGGGAAGGCCTGAGACTGTGTGTGCAACCTCACCTCTCACAGCGACAGTGAGCAGAGCATTCCAGAAACACATTTAGATGCTGACATTTTTGGATTTGCTGCCCTCCACATTTATTAATCAAACCCAGGTTATGGATGTATTTGTTGCAGACTCTAATGGGTTTCCTCCTGGCCTGCTATCCTCCAGGGATAACACATGAGGTAGTACATGCCAGGGTTCTCTAAGCACTGAACAACCTGCCTGCTGCCAGAGATGGGCCGGCTTCAGCCACAAGCACCAATAGTGATGTAACTGTATAAAGGGCTTTGTCCGGATTAAAAGTGCAATGGAGCTACTGATGCTCTCACATACCTGTCACCCACAGCTCACGTCTCCAGTGTGGATGTCCAGATGGAGTCAGTTTGTGCTTGATGGCTGGATCACGAAGGCTACCTTCAGAGTGATCCCTCCTATTGAAAGACCCCAACTCGTTTTAACTACAGTTATAACGTTTTGCAAAGGTTTTCAGATAGCAAGCTTAATTAAAGAAAGAAAGAGAGGATCGCGAGGCGAGGCCTGAGTCACACGGAGCCCGTCACGAGTCAGAGACTGTCCAGCTAAGCTAGGAAGGCAGGAAGAGATAAGAAAAACAGGTAGCACAACCCCCTCCTTGGTATCCAGGTGGGTCTGGACAACCCCCTCCTTGGTATTTAGGTAAAAGGTCAGGAATGTGCCACTCAGCTTAGCCTTATTTAAATTGACCAATGAAATGAAAGCTTTTTTTGCTTCTGTACCCGCGCTTTTGCTCTCCTATAAGAACCCCTCATCCCCAACCTGCAGGCGCACAAGTCCTCTGAGTCGACTTGTCGCCCAGGTACCTGTGTATCCACCAATAAAACCTCCTGCTGTTTGCATCCGGCTGCGTGTTTTCGACTGATCTTTGGGCATGGGGTCTCTCCCGAGGGAAGACGCCCACCCGGGAGTCTTTCATTATTACTCATTAAAGTGACTGAACACGTCACAAGCTCCCTGAACTCCACGACGTTTCTTCAAAGTGAATTTTCTAGTACCAAAGAAGGGGGACTCATTGACTTAAGGCCTCCTCAGTGTGAACTCTGTGGTGTTTAAGAAGGCTGGATGTGGGGATGAAGAGTTCCCACTTGCACTGCACCCCTAATGTTTCTGTCCAGTATGGATTCTCTGGTGTTGAGCAAGTGTTAAGTTAAAGGCTGAAGGCTTTCCCACACTCGCTCCATTTTAAGGCCTTTCTCCAGTGTGAACCCTCTGACTCAGATTAGGGGGAATCTTTGGCTAAAATCTTTCCCACAATGAATGCACTTATAAGGCTTTCCACCAGTGTGACTCTTCAATGTAAAATAGAGTCAAAGCTTTGGTTGAAGATCTTGCCACACTTATAAGGTCTCTCTCCAGTGAGGATTCTCTGATGCTGAAGAAGGGTGTTTCTATAGCCAAAGAATTTCTTACACGTCATATTAATAAGTTTTGACCCTCTATGAACTTTCTGATGTTGGAGGAGATGACAGCTGTTTTGGAAATCTTTCCACGTTCCCTGCACTCATGAGAACTTCCTGTGCGGTGGTCTGTGGTGCTCACCGCGTCCGCACTTCCTGCTCCAGGCTTTGCCACAGCAGTGCACTCGTGAAGCCTTTGTTAGTGTGACCTCGCTGATGTTGATCATGTCTGTGATGGTAGGTGAGGCTTTTCCACATTCGTTTTTTTTTTTTTTATAAAGCCTGGCCGGAGGTGGGGGGGTGTAGTTATATGAACTCTGCAGTGTATGGTAAGGTCAGAATTCTGGCTAAAGCATTCTGGACAGTGACTGCATGCACCGGCACCTGCTACACTGTGTACCCCTCTCTGATCAACAATAAGGCCAGAGTGTTGGCTGAAGAACTTGCCACTCTTAGAGAACTCACTCTCTTGTGCTGAAGAAGTAAGTATTGGCTGTGATAGGCTTCCCCACATCTGCTGCGGGAATATGGGTTGTCCCCAGGGTGGAACTGTTCATGTTGAACAAGGTAATATCTTTGGCTGAAGGTTTTTCCACATTCATGACATGCAGAGAGCGTTTCTCCAGTGTGAGCTTTCTTATGCCTGACACGATGGGACCGTCTGATGAACGTTTCTCACATCAGAGGAGGCAGCACAAACTCAGACTTTCAGATTGCCTAAACATACACCCGCACAGGAGCGCCGCCGGAAGTTCCTCCTAGGATGTAAAGTTCTAAGGCTTCTGGGTAATGTAGTATCCTCAAGCCATGACACTTCATGGCAGAGAACACCTTAAAGTTGGAACATGGGTAAGCACAGACACTTGGCCAGCAGCCTCGCTGGTACCCGGAAGTCCTGGTCTCGCTCCTGCAACAAGGGACATCATACCGTGATTGCCGTGGAAAGGACTGCAGCCAATCACAGAAGTGTAGAGAGTCCTTATTTCAGATATTCCTCAATGCTACAAAATCAGATTACACAGGCAACCAGATTTGTCTGACCCAAGAATTGTGTTCACCTGATGACTTTGGCATTAATAGTATTCCCTTATTTCTATTCAAATGTATGTGAACTGAGCCTTTATAAAGTCAGTTGTGGGGCTGGTGAGATGGCTCAGCAGTTAAAGGCACATGCTCCCTACCCTGGCATCCTGAGTTCAAACCCCGGGACCTGCAAGGCAGAAGAGCACCTTTGACCTCTACATAGACACATATACAAACGCACACACACCCACACAGACACTATTGCTTATCCCCCTGCCCCAAACAAATATAATAACAAAGTAAGTCATGGTCCCATAAGCCTGAGACAGCGCCCACATCCCAGCTGTGCTTGGCATTTATAGATGGAATCCAGAGCCCTAGAGGAGCATTTTAACTCATGCACACTACAGATACACAATTGGCCATTGACCCAAGCAGTGGGAAGAAGGCACAAATTTTGCTGTCTGGAGCATATGCGATCCTCAGCAGACACTCAGCCTCTCTGGCCCTTTACTGTTCCATGCTCCTGGGGAGTTCATTTGAGGATGTCATGTCTGTGCCCTACGGACCATGTCCCATGAAAGTGACAGACACTCTGGCTGTGGTGACTGTGATCTCCTAGCATCCCCTAATGCATTCTGCAGGGGCATTTTTGCAGCGTTGCAATTCAGCAGGAGCAATTCAAAGTCCCCATGGTTTTCCCTGCCATGTCCCAACCTACTCAATGCCCAACCTCAAATCCAAAAAGTCCAGGCTCCCCTGTGAATTGTAAGGCTTTTATTGTTGGAACCTTGTTTTTAGACACCTGGAGGGCAGGGGTAGGGCTTGCCGTATCTATGCAGGCGAGCAGGCATGTGGTTTCCTTGAGTTTTCTGGCAAAGATGAAATCCTCAACATAGAGGGTCAGCATCTATTTTTGCCTGCAAAGAGAAAGGCGGCAAAGCGTCAGAGGTGAAGGAGATCTCAGCAGTCATACACGGAACCCTACTTGGGAGGGACCTGCACTCTGTCTGCAACAGACCCTGAGTCTGACTTGGCCCAGGGAGTCTCCTCTCCATTCTGTCTCCAACAAACCACATCAGGACGAGTCTTGTAAACAGCCTCCAATCCAGCCTGATGGATAGAGCCACCTGACCTCGGAACACCATGAGCACATGTGGGGCAGAATGAAGAAGGGCCTGGGTGGGTGGGGCTCCAGGTGAACCTGCGGGCAGTTGTGGCCCCAAAGTGAACTAACTCCTGTCACACGATGACCTCAGAGGCATGCAGCTGGGGTGGTGACAATCCCACCAGTTCTAGGGACGAGAGGGGATTCAATTAGATTCTTTAGCTGAGCATCCAGGCCTGGATTCTACACAGTGAACTCTGAGATCCAGGGAACAAGAAAAAAGACGAGTGTTTGGGTGTGTTGTGGTAGACTTGAAAAGTCAGGATAAAAGACCCTGGTTAGAGAAGGGGTGCCAGATGCTGATGTAGCTGGACTCGGGAGGCTGGGCCTGAAAGCCTTATGGAGGCCAAGTGGGACCGTGGGGGCAGGGATCGTGGGGTTCTGGTCTGGCTTGACTGAGCTGAACAGCCAGTGTCCTTCCTGCCCCTTCTCCTGACCTCTTTCTGGATTCACAGAGGAGCTGCAGTGCTGGGAAGGAAAACACGCTCCATCCCTAAGCTAGGGTGAGCAGGGGGGTACACAGGCTCCTGGCCAGACACACAGAGAACTCACCACCAAAATCTGTGCATTCGCCCTGTCTTCCTCTGTCAGCTTGTTATCAGCACATATCTTCATAGTTTCAAGAACTTCCAATGTGGCAGAGTTGTTCGTGTACTGGCTCACGAAATTCATATAGTCAGACACAGATGGGCCAAGGAAAAGAGCAAGCTCCTCCTTCAAAGCAGGGCAAATGCCACAATCTAGAACACAAAGGTGATCCTCCATTGAAAGCCGTGCATCAGAACTCAGATGTCCTTCCTAGGGAGTGAGGGTGTTGTGAGAGCCCTGAAGACCCTGCATCCCTGACACCCACAGCCTAGTACCCAGTTCCCCGAGGTCACCCACACCCTAGTACCCACTTCTCCGAGGTCACCCACACCCTAGAACCCACTTCCTCCCGAGGTCAGGAGCAGGGCAGCCCCAAGCAACACAAGAGCACCAGTGAGCTTCATGGTAAAGGTGGCAGGTGCTCCTACTCAGCTTGGGCCACTTTTGTAACTGCCTTGGGCTGCTCAGGGGGCAGGGAGGGGATGGGTCTGAGCTCTCCAGGCCCCTCCCAAAACCCTGCTTGAACCTCTCTGGGGCTGTGTCAGGGGGAGATGTGTGTTTTGGCAAGAGAATAAGATCCTGGTCAACAAAGGGCCCTGGCTCAGCCTGGTCCCTTCTTAGTCTGCTTAAGGTCACATGTCATGTGAAGACCAAGGAAGTGATGAACAGGGAGAGGGCCAGGTCCCTCCATCAGGCCTCTATTGTGAAGTCTCTGTCACCCTGTCACACTGGGGAACTTGTCGTTCATTTACAAGCTCAAGGCGTCATGTGTAGGGCAGGCCAGATCACAGTCCACTGATAACTTGGGGACCCTGCTCTGACTGTTTCTGTCCCTGCCCCCATCTTTCACTTGCTTCACAGCTCCATTGAAGCCAACTCTAACTCTGAAGTCCTCCTGCTGTCGGAGCCATCCTTCAACTCCATCTTTTTTTTGTTGTTGTTGTTATTTTGTTTTGCTTGTTTTGTTTTGTTTTGTTAGGTCTCTATACATAGTCCTGGCTGTCCTGGAACTCACTCTGTAGACCAGGATTGTCTTAAACTCGCAGAGATTCACCTGCCTCTGCCTTCCAAGTACTGGGATCAAAAGTATGCAGTATCCAGCTAAACTTGACCAATTACACTCTTTGCTGATGTTTCTGGTTTTTTTTTGCAGACAGGTTCTTGCCCAGCTTCATCTTGAGTTTATAACCCTGAGAATGGAGGGTGTGTGTGTGTGTGTGTGTGTGTGTGTGTGTGTGTGTGTGTTATGTGTATGAATGGCAAATTCTGCTTTCTCTGGGCCTGGTAGTAAGCACTGACAATAGTCACAGACCACTGTGAGTTGGAGGTCAGCGTTGTCCCCATAGGGAGTTCCAGGCCAGCCGGACAAACACTTTAAGTTCATACTGCAAATGGTTCATGTTCATTTTCTGAATGGACAGCGATGGAGAAGGAGGCAGTAGGCAGTGAAGCAAAGTGTGAGGCAGGGGAATGACAGTTGAGGGGTCAGCAGGCAAGCAGCTTGATGTGTTGCTGGGCATTTGACAGGGATAAGGCAGGAAAAGGAAGGGTCACAGCAAGGGAGGGCAGAGAGCAGAGTCTGAGGAAGGATCAAAGGGGACAGATCCAGAGGACAGAAACTTCAGGACCTGTTTGACAAAGAGGTCAGGGAGCTGTGGCTTCTTTAAACACAAGAGCCTCACCAGGGCCAAGAGCCACAGCACTGGTGAGTGCCAAGAAGGACTCACTTCCTACCCATGAGGCTCTGGGTCCCCTGCTGGTGTGAGGCCTGTTCCCTAGAGGGTTCCTCCTGCTGCTGCTCCCACCTGCCAGCTGTTTCTGCTCCCTGCTGGGACACAGGGAGGGCAATGAAAGCTGTGCAAGCCAGCACCTGGAGAGTGCCCCTTCATACACCCATTTCTACCTTTGTTCTTTTAAACATTTATTTATTTATTTATTTATTTATTTATTTATTTATTTATTTATTTTGTATACAATGTTCTGTCTGTGTGTATGTCTGCAGGCCAGAAGAGGGCACCAGACCTCATTACAGATAGTTGTGAGCCATGCCACCGTGTGGTTGCCGGGAATTGAACTCAGGACCTTTGGAAGAGCAGGCAATGCTCTTAACCACTGAGCCATCTCTCCAGCTCCCCCCTCCCCATTTCTACCTTTGTGAGCAAAGGGATCCCAGACAGCTAACTGGGGGACACACCTGCCTCAGCCTCCCACAAACATGGATTCCATGTGGGAAGCACCAGTCTTCCCCTCATTTGTCTGGACTCTGCCAGTCCTCTGACCACTCTGTGTGCCCTGAAACTGGAACTCACCATTACCCTGGCCTGTTTGTCATCCAGAGCATCTCTGTACCAGGTACGGCACCACCTCCCCATAGGCATGACCCCAGGGAGACCCCGGGCCTCATGTCTGATGTGCTTGCCCTTCACCTGGCTTTGAGATTTGATGCTTAATACCCAGTCTGCATCCAAAACCACCAAATCAGAGGGACGGCCTGCTATGGCATCCACATGTCTAGGCCATACCAGACCCCACCTTGCGCTCTGGTCCCCAATGCAGCAGGTGAGGGGCAGTGCATGGTGCGTGGCTGTAAAGCATGTGCAGCCTCTGCTCTCCTACTGTCTTCCGCCAGCCCCACCTCCCCCACCCCTCACGCTGCCCTTCTGCTCCACCAGGAGGTCAGATAGGGCAAGGCACTGGGTGGATGCAGCTGCTCTGTCTTGGACTTTGAAGACTCCAGATTATGCGCCAAGTTGACTTTTTTCCCATATACCTATCTGGGTGTTTTGTCATAGCAACGGAACATGGATTATACACCTCAGTGCACCTGTACCACTCTTATCTAAGAACACACCAAGCCTCCACCAGTGCACTGGGCTCTAAACCCTGTTGTCATTTCCCTATGTCCCCTTGCATTGTCTGATTTTGTTGTCTCTTAGATGTCTAAGGGCTCAGGAGAGCATGGCATGTGCCACTCTATTGCAGAGGCAGCATATAGGAGGTCTTCACAGATGATGGGTAGATGGGTTGAAGGTCTATTTCATGTCTCTCAAGTGTGTAAACAAGACCTTTCTTAAAACATGAAACAACAGCCAGGTGGTCATGATACACACCTTCAATGCCAGCACTTGGGAGAGAGACAGGCTGATCTATGTTGAGTTCGAAGCCAGCATGGTTTACAGAGTGAGTTCCAGGACAGTCAAGATTGTTTGAGTGATAAACCCTGTCTGATAAAACCAAACCAAATCAAAAAACCATGAAACAAACAATATCTTCCCACATAGATTAGGCTGGCTTCAAACTGTCAGTCTCCAGTACCCCCTTCCCTGTTTACATTATATAAGTGCTTATGTAACTTGTTTGGTATTAATTTTTGAAAGTTAAGAGTCTAAGTGTCTTGATAAGTCAAAACTAAGCTGTTCATTGTCAAAGGTTCACGACTGTCACTTTGTCTCCATCAGCAATGACATATGAAGTTTGTCAAAGACTCAGAGAGCCATGAGCCTTCTGACTTACTGGTTAGTCAAGTAAAACAGGATTTGCATCCGGTAACTGTTTTGGAAAAGAGGTGCCAAGCACCAAGACCCACTTAGGAGCTGTCCACTATGTCCTGTGTTCCTTGTGCTTATGACCTTGCAGGACCCTAGGGCTGCTGAGGCCTGCACAATATCCCTGCCCAGCTGAGGCCTTCTCTTTCTTGAAAGTATTAGGAATGGAGACGGGGGCGTACTGTGGCTAAGATGGGTCTGCTACTGGGTGACACTTGTAGCCCTCTGCTACCTGTCAGAGCTGGCATCAGGCTTTTTGTAGATCTCAGAGAGGTTAATACCCTTGACCTCACATGTCAGAGGACACAAGACATGTACCCATTTCCCCAGTGATTGGAACTTCTCACTTGAACCATTAGTATTCTCTTACAAGATGTCTCTACTGTTTTCCCAGTTCCTCACGGTTTCCTATTTGTGTGCATGTGTGTGCGTGTGTGTCTGTGAACTCACACAAGTCTTCATTTGTGTGTGTGGTTACATGGCATGCTGGCTAGTTTTAAGTCACCTTGACACAAGCTAAAGGCATCAGAGAAGAGGGAACCTCAACTAAGAACACGCCTTCTCAAGGTAGTGTTGGCACACGTCTTTATTCCCAGTATTTGGGACCCAGAGACAAGGATTTCTTTGATTTTGGGGCCAGCCTTGTCTGCAGAGAGTTCCAGGATGGTCAGGGCTGTACAGAAACCCTTTCTTGAAACACCAAAAAATAAAATAAAAGATAAAAAAAAGACAAGAAAAAGAAAATGCCTCCATAAGTTGGGACTGCAGGGAAGCCTGTAAGGCATTTTCTCTCCCCCACATCTCAGACAGGGTTTCTCTGTGGCCCTGGCTGTCTTGGAACTCACTCTGTAGACCAGGCTGTCCTCGAACTCAGAGATTCACCTGCCTCTGCCTCCCAAGGGCTGGGATTAAAGGCGTGCACCATCATTTTCTATATTAGTGATTAATGGGGATGTCTTAGGCCATTGTTAGTGGGGCCATCCCTAGCAGGTGGCTCTGGGTTCCATAAGAAAGCAGGCTGAGCAAGCCATGGGAAAGAAACCAGTAAGTAGCACCCCTCCAGGGTCTCTGCATCAGTTTCTGCCTCCAGGTTCCTCCCTGCTGGAGTATCCTGACTTTGATGTTGAATGGTTCTGCAAGTATAAAACAAACCCTATTCTCCTTAATTAGCTTTTGGTCATGGTGTTATATCACAGCAATAGCAAACTTTTATTTACTTGTTTATTTATTTTCTTTTTCAAGATAGGGTTTCTGTATGAAGCAACTCCTATCTAGGAACCTGCTTTGTAGACCACAATGGCCTCAAACTCAGAGATATCCACCTGCCTCTGCATCCTGAGTGCTGGATTAAAGGCATGCACCCCATGAGCACCTGAGCAATAGTTATAACCAAAGTACATGTCATATGTATGTGTATGCACATGGCAGTCAGAGATAGACAATCAGGTGTCTTCAGTTGCTCTCCAACATATCAATGTGTATGTGATGTGTATATATGTATATTTATATACACACATATACATATGTATATACATCTATTATATACTATTGTTGCCTTTTGAACAGATTTTATTTATGTTTGTTTTATGTCCTGGGGATTTTTCCTGCATGAATATCATATGATCTGTGGGCAGAGTCTGTGGAGGTCAGAGGAGGGTGTTGGATCCTCTGGACTGGAGTGACAGATAGTTGGCAGCCGCCATGTGGGTCCTCGGTCTCTTAACAGCTGACCACCTGATAGTTTTTGAGACAGGGTCTTTTACTAAACCTGGAGTTTGCTAATTTGAAAAGAATGGCCAATGACCTCCAGCGGTGGACTCCCCAGGGCTGGGGCACAAGGTGTGCTATTGTGCCTGTCTTTCCTCATGGGTTCTGGGGATTGAAATCCAAGTATTCACACTTACACAGCAAGCACTTCCCTGACAGATCCATGCTCCTGGCATCTTGCTTCTGTCTTTGGAAACATGTGCTCATACTGAAGGACTGAAGGAAGTAATTCCCCTGCCCAGAGGACAGGAGCATCTAGAACTATTCATGATTTCTTCCGGAAGAACGCCGTCATTCATTCCTGTTTACCTGCTCATCCAAGCATTCATGCCAGCAAGGACTCATGTTATTTTACAATTCTAGTATAATCCAGTGGGATGTTATATAGTTTGTGGATCAAATTGTTGGATATTGACCATTAGGAGCTCATTTAGGCTTCCTTGTGTCAGTTCTCAAAGACAGTATTCACAGGTGTGCGTTCATGTACTTGTCTGTGTTTCTGTGCATGTGTATGTACATGGGCACAGGTGTCATGGTGTGTGTATGTGTGTGTGCGCACGTGTGACATCAGAGGACAATTTTTAGGAGTTAGTTCTCTTCTCCAACCGTGTGTGTTCAGGGATTTGAACCCAGGTCATCAGGCTTAGCAGCAAGCACCTTTAATGACTGAATTATCTCAACTGCCTCCCACCCTGCTGTTTGAGCTGACGTCTGTTATTGAACCTGGAGCTCCCATGGCATTGGTGGAGCCACCACACTCAGCTCCTACAGCGTTCTGGGGATCTGAACTCAGGTCCTTAGGCTTGCATAATGAGCACTTTCCCACTGAGCCATCTCCTTAGTCACTCCATTTTGTGTGGGAGGCAGTGGATTAACCTCAGGGCTTGGCATGTGCTAAGACACGCTCTACTACTGTGTTAGTGAGCTAGTGACAAAACTCAGATAAGAAGCAGCTTACCACTTACAGTTTTCAGGGATACAGTCTATGACGCTGGGGCAGGCATGGTGCAGAAACTCGAAGTGATTGATCACATCTACAGTCAGAAAGTAGAGAGACATGAAGGCCCAGCTTGCTTTCTCCTTTCCATTCCATCCATGACACAAGTCCACGCTGCTCACATAAAGTCTGACATAATTAACTTAGCCTAAATAGTCTCACACAGACAGCTTTGAGTCCATGGTGAATCATTCCATCCAGTCAGGATGACCATCAGATTAGTCATCACTCACAGTAAGCCTCCTGTCTCCAAGAATGATTAACACAATGCCCAGCTAACAATGTCATTTGTGCCACAAACATCATTCTGAGGGTAGTAGGTTGAGTTGAACTTGAGAGAGTGTACACACACAGCACTGCCTGGGGACAGTGGAGAGCTCTAGTTTATACAAGGCCAGTTCACAGTGGCCTGTGGGGCTGTGGACAATGGAGAGTTCATGGTACAGGGATGAAATCCTCCCTCTACTGAGAGCTGCCATAACCACATTGACTCTACTGTTTGGACCTCTTTGAGGCCTGCTTACTGGTGGACTAAGACAGACAAGAGCAGGATGACAGGGAGGAGCTCCCATGGTGGGGAGGGGGAATTTGCAGCATGATGCGGTTGTAGAAAAAAATCATCACCAGCCCCTGAGGATCCATACATGACCAAACACACTGGGACTACCCTGACTGGGAGTCACTAAAAACCCCAGATGTTGCCACCATGTCCTCAGAGGTCTAGTCCAAAGGTTGTAGCAGCTAAGATGTCCAAGTGTCCCCAGTTTGGCCCCTCAGATACACCCACTTCTGCTCAGATCTTGAACTCGGGCAGATGCAGTGTTCTGGGCAGTTGGCTGCCTACAGTGACAGAAACCATCCTTGATCTCTGTGGTTTCTACCTCCAAGCTTGAGGAGGACTTGCTTGGAGCCAGGAGAGGAAGCCCAGTGACAGTTGAGTCAGGACAACAGCGCATTTGGCTCAGCACATGGCTGCTTACAAAGGTCAGCTCTAACCATCTTCTGGCAAAGGTACAGCCACTTCTGTACAGAAAGTAAGCACACAGGATGTCTGCAGCCATTTGTTCTTCAGAGTGGGAGGGGCTCTAAGCTCACTCCCTTATGCAAGTTGGAAGGGGATCCATAGGTGCCAAGTTCTTGCCCAAAGGCATTTGGAACTCCTCAGAAGCAGGTAAGTGGTGGGGTGGGATGGGGGAGAACAGGACTGGACTCAGGGAGACAGCAGTTTATAAGGTAGCATGATCTGCTCTGAGAAGAGCACTTAGCACTCTACACCATGAAGGGGACGCTGCTTCTGCTGGCCTTGCTGGTGACCAGGGAGCTGGGCTTCCAGACAAGTGAGAATGGGAACAGATGGCCTTTCTGTCCCTTGCTCACTCCTTCCTTCCTTATGGGTCTGTTTGGAGATCTAGGGGGACCCTGGGAGGTCACTAGCCCGGAGTCCTGCTGAAGACCCTTGAAGTATTCTCTTCAGGATTGCAACAGTTGGGATGGGCTGGATGGGGAGACTGGTGTGTGGTGGTGATGATGGACCCTTAGTTGCTTGTACAGGGGAAGTTGAGTCATGTGTGGGATTTATATGAAGGTCAGATGTGCAGGCTGTGACACTCATATATCCCCCTTCTGCTGGGAGTGTGTATCAATGGAAACTGTGTGCTGTATCTGGGAGACAGCAGCCTTTGGGAGGGCAGGACTGTGTGGAAGGTCAGTTAGGACATTTGTAGAAGTTCAAAGAAACCCTGAGACTGCACTACTGCCAGCCTGGGGCTTTGCTAATGATGTTCTTCTGTCTTTGTTTGCAGCAGAAGCATGCATTCCTTTCTTTGAAGTCTTTGCTGCACTCTCCATTGGAAATACGAAAATATTGAATGCCGTCCTTAACAAGTTTGAACCTACTGACGGGGAATGGCAGGGTTTTGTAAAAATCATGGAATGCCTCAGTGAGGCAGGAGTGGAAGGCAAAATCCTGAAATTCAAATTCATGGTAACTTCCTCCCTACCCTGATTCTCCCTGCACCATATGGTAGAATGCTCTGTTCAAACAATTCAGGCAACCAGTCACGTGTGTCATGGGATGGACACCAGAGCACTCAACCCTTGCCCACCCTAGCACATGTCCATGCAGCATGCTGGTCCACATCCAGTCTGTCGATGCAAGGTCCTGCATAGTGCTCCCCAATGATGGGTGACCACTGGGTTCTCATCACAGCAGGGCAGGCAGGGACACAGGAGAGTCCTTGATCTGGCTTCTGCACAGGGAGGGCACCCTCAGCTCTCCTCTACTCTAAGATGCCTGAAACTGCTGTCTACTGGGCAGGGTCACCTTCTCTGGAACCTCCCTTAACTCTACTTTCCTGACTCAGATGGAGCCCAACTTCCACTGGCTTCCTGAGAGCCACAGCCAGAACCTCCCTCTGTGACTTAAAGGCCACCATTTCCACCAGAGAGTGCCTGCGGCCATTCATCTCAGCTACTCCTGGTCTCCCTTAGTCTCTTATTTAAGTATAGCTGGATTACAGAGACACACATTTTGAATATTGCATCTCTCACTCTCTGTTTCCAAAGTACTTTTAGTTTGTGTGTCAGGTTCTGCAAAACCACAGCCCTCTCCAAGAAGGAATTTCTTCCAGCACATCCACACAGGGACGTATTTCTAACTCAGCTATACAGCCAATGTGCTGACAGACGTCCTCAGCTATAAGATATTATGTAAGCTAGAACTCAGCCATCTTGTCCCCTCTCCAGATCTAGTCCTCATCATGCCTTAGGGAACTTCTCCCTTCATCCCTGACTAGCTAGGGCGGTTTTTCAGACTTCCTCCTGTCAGCTGTGGAGTAGCTGCAGCTCCATGGAGCAGAGTCTGTTGCTGGAGCCCTGAATCACTGCAGGGGATTTTCCTCCTTGTGCAGAAGGAACAGCCTCATCATGTGTGACTGGGGAGCACTGCTGGGGTTTTGCTCCTTGACTGTAACCACCTCTGCCCCTTTCTGTCTTTTGGTTTTCCAGGAATCCATCGCCATCAGCCCAGAATGTAGAGAATACTATGCCCAAGACACCAGAGACAAATTTGAGGGAATCCTTTCCAAAGTTAGCTTATTTGGAAAATGATGACCTATCTGAGAGCCACATTGCTGCACTGTTCACTTTCTATCCTGAAGCTCGAATCCAGACACCTGTTCCTTCCTTGCTCAGTCTGTGAAGTTGGTTCAATAAACACCTGCAGCTCTGCTCTGGGTCCCATGTCTGTGTGTTGTACAGGCATCATGTGATATCTTTAGATCTAGGAGACAGAGAAAGGCCTCGGGTAGACACTCAGAGCAGGGCGAATGCCACTGACTGACTAGTTGTCATGGGAAAGCCATTGCAGCCTTTTTTGTTGCTATGTAGACCAGGCTGGCCGCAAACTCACAGAGAACCACCCATCTCTGCCTCCCAAGGGCTTGGATTAAAAGCATTGGCCCCCATCACACAAGGCTCACTGCATCTTTGTGAGTCTGTAAGACAGGAGCTGTCTGAGGCAAAAGAGCATGGAATCAGCCACAGGCTTCCTCAGGCTGTCAGGATAGAAACGAGGTGTGCAGATACTCACTTCATATGTTGCCTCTGGGCTTCATCACAGGGCAGCTGGCTCCTTATAGGTCAGTCTATAACAGTGCCGTGACTCTGAAGATGACTTGGGAGACTCTCCTGGTCTGCAAGAAAGGTCATCATTTGTCATAGCCTGATCTACATAGAAAGTTCCAGGACAGCCAGGGCTACATAGAGAGACCCTGCCTCAAAAATAAAAACAAAAGTTAATAATAAACCAAAAATTAGAATGGGGAAAACTATTATAGTAGAAGCTGAACTAAAGAGAGGAGAGAAGGTCTTGGAAGAAGTTTCAATGGGTAGAGTGCTTCTGTGCTTTACTGGTGACATGAGTTCGAATCCTAGAACCCATCTAAGGCCAGACTTGGTAGCATATATCTGTAATTCCAGTGCTCTTGTTGAGAGATGAGAGGAGATAGGTGTATACAAAGAAGTCTGTCTGGAATCCAGACAGCAACAGAGACCTGTCTTAGACAGGGTAGGTGAGGAGTGACACCCGAGTAAAATCAGTCAGTGAACACTGGGATGGGCAGCTAGGAGAGAAGTGATTGACTATAAATGGGAGAAGGGGCTGGGAGATGGATCAGTGGGTAAGAGCACTGGCTGATCTTCCAGAAGGTCTGAGTTCAATTCCCAGTAACCACTTGGTGACTTATAGCCATCTTTAGTGGAATCTGATGCCCTCTTCTGGTATGCAGGTGTACATGCAGACAGAGCACTAATACATCTTTAAAAAATTAATAAATTAATTAAAATAATAAAACAAGAGCTATAAGGTGGAAGGAAGGAACATTAGGAGCAATGAAGATGCTTGTCATTGTGACTGCAGTGATGATTTGATAAAACCTACCATATTTCATACTTTAACTATGCACAGCGCAGGGCACATCAATTCAACCTCAATAGAGCTTTAATAAAAGAAATGGTTCAGTACAAATGGAATGGTTAAAAGCACTAAAGTATAGATTTCCTCTCTACCGAAAATCCAGAAAGTCTGGCAAATGTACACTGGTCTCACCCTCTTTGGGACACAGGTCCACCTCGAAGGACACAGAGCATCATGAGTAATAAAGATTGACTTTGAATCCCAAGTCACACACATGGACTGGTAGTTCTTTCCTTTCTCCTTGTTCTGGTCCACGTAGCCCGGGAGTCCAGCAACATTTGGACATCTACCATTGCTCTGAGTATCTACAGAGAAACAGCCAGGGAAGGCCTGAGACTCTGTGTGCACCCTCACCTCTCACAGCGACAGTGAGCAGAGCATTCCAGAAGCACATTTAGATGCTGACATTCTTGGATTTGCTGCCCTCCATGTTTATTAATCAAACCCAGGTTATGGATGTATTTGTTGCAGACTGTAATGGGCTTCCCCCTTGCCTGCTATCCTCCAGGGATAACACATGAGGTAGTACATGCCAGGGTTCTCTAAGCACTGAACAACCCAATTCATGCTGACTTCCCCACATCTGCTGCAGGAATATGGGCTGTCCCCAGGGTGGAACTGTTCATGCTGAACAAGGTAATATCTTTGGCTGAAAGTTTTCCCACATTCATGACACACAGAGAGTCTTTCTCCAGTGTGAGCTTTCTTACGCCTAGCACGATGGGACCGTCTGATGAATGTTTCTCACATCAGGGCACTTAGAGGGTCGTTCTGCAGTCTGGATACTCTGGTGCTTGGGAAGCCCATTTTTGTGGCTGACTGTTTCCCACATTCACTGCATCTGCAATGTCCACCTCCACTGAGAGGGGTCCCCAGCATCCACAGTGTACAGGTCAGCTCCTTCTGGTCTCATGCTGGAGAGGTCCTGAGTTTTCCCTACTCTCTTCACATAGCTAAGGATTTCTGCACTGGAAACTGTGTGGTTCTCACACAGGGATCCTCGTCCTCGTCGTCACTGAGACCTTTCCCTCCTCTGTGTTGGGGTTGGGGGTGTTTACACTGAAGGAGAATTGCCTTCCACACGTCGTACACGTATGCAGTTTGTGTCGGGAATGTAACCCTGCTGTTCAGCCTGCAGAACAAGATGTTTGTGACCGGGTCACACATCCCACAAGGGTAGTATTTCTGGAGGACTGAACCATCTGTGGTAACCCTGACTTTTGACCCTTTTTGAAAATATGCCTCCTCAGTCTCCACTCGAAACCAGAAAAATTTTATCAATAAAAAACACAAGTCAAATATCAGGGTAAAAACCTGAAAGACCAGAGAAGCAAAGGAACACCACCAGTGACTCCCTACCTCTTCCATTCCTTCAACAAAAAAAGGTTGAGATCCTTTCTCTGCCCCACCTGTTCTCTTCCCATTTCCTCTCAGTACAGACCTCCAGACCCCTATGGTTAACTAGTGGCTAGTTCCAGTCTCTGACTCCAAGCAAGTTTTATTTGTCAGAACACAAACAAAATATCACACAATATTACTCCGTTTTGTCTAAGTAAAAATCAAAAGTTTTAAGTAACATATAAAAAGTATATGCAGTTAGTACAATAACAATAAATAAATATGTAAGGCACTAATTACATTAACAATGTCTAGTCCATTAGCATTTGAGAAATTCAGAGAAGATACTCCATTATGTATCCTATCTTGGTAAGTCCAAAGTGTTGTACCTAATATACTTTCTATCATAATTTGTATTACCAATCCAAAACTGTCATTAAACCTCACACATTTTACACATCTTTTGTGAGAATTTTTTCTGAGTGTGGTAACAAGGAAAAGTATAACAATAACTGTGTAGGCTTCAATTCCATGAGAGACCTGAGAAAGATATAAAATTACCTGAGTAATCAGGAAGGGTAGAGCAAAGAACTTCCAAAACTAAGAAATGACAGAAACAGCTCCCTGGACAGACCCCCAAGGTTTCTCTGCAACCTTGGTGCTTCCAGCTCTTACCTCCAGGTCTAGCATATCTGACAGACTTCTCTGTGAGGCAGGATTTTTGAAGGACTGCCCCACTTTATCTTGGCAAAGTACAGCAGTCATTTTCTTTTGTTTCCTGTGTGTTCAATTGGACAGTATACTGCCATCAGTTGAGAAAGGGCAGTATCTTGCCCAGTGCTTAGCTTTTGCCACAAAGAAAGTAAACACCATGTAGAGTTTCTTCATTGCTAACCATCTTCTGTGAAGTAGATTGGTGCTGCCAGGAGAAACATGTTTCATTGTCTTAAAAAAACCAACCTTATATAATTAAAACATCTTAAATGCCATATTCTGTAATCTAGGAAGTATTTGAAGACTGCCTGTCTATCTAAAATATATCATTTGACCTTGATATCATACCTAACATGACTACAAACTTGAATGAATTAGGCTGACTATTAACGTGCAGTTTTATAATTATACTAAATAGTAGTAACTTTTAAGAAACAGAAATTTACATGGTTAAATGAGCTATATAGGTACAACTATTGAACAACAGTAGAAAACGATATACAGTATCTACTAACAAAAATGACCTTAAATTTGTACTAATATAAAAATATCTTAAGAGTAGAAACATTATTACAAAAATAAAATTTTATAAAAATGAATTCAAATATACAAAAATTCAAACCAAATGTAAAATATTTAAAAGTAGTAGTTACAATTTTGGTTTAAAAGTTTTATCCTATTTCTTCATCCTACTTTTTTCTTTTTAGAATGAGATCCTTAGATCTAACCTCCTTTGTTCAGCATTTTTCCTGACCATTACCAATAATGATTGGTAACTGACCCCTCTAAATGATGACAAATATCCATAACCTACTGAACGACCAAAACCCACCCACTGCACCTCTTGGGAATGTGGGTGTCGTGTTCTTAAATTTACTCCCTGTTGTCCGGGGATGATGGCATCTCTTGGGGACTCTGAAAAAAACTGGGATAATTGTCATGTCTTGGGAGAGCTAGCTGTATCATTTGTTTTCAGTTTGTGTAATAAGAAAATGCAGGGCTTACTTCAAGTCCTGGCTAGAGTAGTCTGTAAGGCTGGACCAACTCAGCTAGCCACCTTGAAAATGTCCTGAGCAGTTTGGGGTTCTTACCCGATCTTTGGGTGTTTGACAGCATAGTAACATTATAATAATCCATGTGTAATTGTCACTGTGGGCGCCATCCTCCTTTTGGAGACTTCAACTGTCACTGATGGGCATGGTCATGGGTGACTGCAGAACTTACACATTCTACTGTCACATGCAGCAGATCTCTTAGAGGTTAAAGAACCATAATTTGTTATGTACATCCAGAGTATAAAAATTTAATTCTTAGCTACTGATAGAGACTCCAACCTGAAATCAGGTACAGGAAGGAAGTGAAAGCATTTTTCTAGAATTAGTATTCTAGAAGACCATTAATATCATGACAAAAGTTAAAAATATAGATATTGAACTTTATATATTTTGAGATAATATTTATATTTTAAGAAACATGTTAAAGAGTAAAAATAAAACTAAAGGATTATGAGAATAGTGGCAATAGAACAGTCCCTTAATTTTGGTTTTTCTTCTGTTTCATATCAAGTAAATCTTCTGACAAGAGACAGAGGTTTTGTATTGTCCTTTAACAAGCATTTACAGAAGGAGAGACCCACTCACCCATTTCAAAGCCAGGTTTAATTTTTAATTGGAGTAGAACTACAAAAGACCATTTGTACTATATGTCTGTAGAGAAGAGCAGAAACAAACATTTGGGATGATTTATGAAATGCTATCCTGTTGGAAATGTGATACACATACAGGCCAATTTAGTCTTTGTCTTGGGACATTTTCTCTGGATGATTTGTCCTTTTACTTTGAATGTGTCATTTGTCCAGTGGTCTTCAGATTCCCTAATTGAATGCCTTCATTCTCCTTGAAAAACAAAACCAAATCCCTGCCCAAACCCCACCTTTGGGGAATTTCCCTTTTGGCAAGTTATAGCTGATAAAATGAAAAACATTTGTTAGTCTAATGAGTTAGTTTAAATTGAATGGTCACATGGTTGATGAACTCTTCTAATCAAAGGTCTCTCTTGTTCAAATCTCATCTTTATCAATTTTGAGGGAATCCCCAGCATTTCTTCTCCGATGGAAAGAAAAGCAAAACCTCTTTCCCAACGTAACACATATCCTGCTTTCCATTTTGAGGTCAAGACATCATCAAAGTATATAGGCTGATTTAATTCAGTAGTTTTTGTCTATTATCTAACATTTTTCATAGATGTCCTTTCTTTCTCATTAGCATTTAGAAAATTTAAAACTAATAAAGCATTATGAAATCTATTATGGTCTTTATCATCCCTTTCTATTTATGAATCATATTTTTTAGAGTTCAATTTGACCTTTCTATACCTGCTTGTCCTGTAGGATTGTGTGGTATACCTATAATATGCAAAAATTTTCATCTTTACTAGAGATATACGCTGAAGCATTGTCAATCTTGATTTTTACAGGTATGCCTATGATGCCCATAACTTCTAAGGAATGAGTGATTGCAAAATCAGCCATTTCAGAAATGAAAGCAGTTGCCCATTGAAATCCTAAATATGTATCAATGGTGTGGGGTACATATTTTAATTTTTCAAATTTGACAAAATTAAGCACGTCTACTTGCCAAATTTCATTTCTTTGAGTACCCTTTGGGTCACTTCTGCAAGTAGTAGAGTTTGGTTATAAAAGCAACAAGTAGGGCACTTCCTTATTATTTCCTTGGCTTGTAGGCAAGTGATGGTAAATTTTTTTTCAAACACTTGCTATTGACATGGTGTTTTAAATGAAATTTTGAGGCTGCTAGCACATTTACTACCAACAGTCTATCAGTTTCAGCATTATCTTGTATTAGAGGGCCTGGCAGATTGGTATGGGATCTAACATATGTTATATATCAGGGATGATTTCTAATTCTGATTAGTGTTTGTAAGTAAATAGATAACATGGTTAATTCTGAATCAACTGGAATAAGTTCAGCAGTTTTAATATTAATATGTAAAACAACTCTCTGCATATTGAAAGTCAGTAACTATATTATGAGGTTCTGGAAAATCTAATACTACCATGAGAATAGCATATAATTCTGACTTTTGAACAGAATCATAAGGCCTTTGAGTCACTTTATTCAAATGTCCTGATTTATAACCTGCCTTTCCTGATTTGTTTGAATCAGTACAGAATGTATGGGCTCCAGAAATTGGTGTTCCCTGTACAATGTGAGGAAGGAACCAGTTAGTTCTCTTTTTAAACTGAATTCTTTTGCTTTAGATATGCTTGTTGTTAATCTCTCTCAAAAATTACTGCAATCTCTTTGTAAATGTTCATTTTCTGCCCATAATGAGTCAATTTCAGCATTAGTAAAAGGTACCACAATTTCTGCTGTGTCTATTCCTGTTAATTGATGAAGTCTCAATTTCCCTTTTAGAATCAACTCAGAAACCTTTTATATATAGGTCTTTAATTTTTTTACTCTGTGTGGTAAAGATAAAATTCTAAGATAGTATCTTTTCTCTGCATTAAAATTCCTGTAGGGAGTGTGTAGAAGGTAAAATAATCAGAAAGGGATCAAGCTCTGGATCTAAACGATCCACATGTGCATCCTGCAATTTCTTTTCTACAAAAGCCAATTCTCTCTCAGCTTCAGCTGAAAATTTTCTTGGACTATTTAAGACCTTGTCACCTTTTAAATTTGAAATAAATCACTCAGTTCTTGAGTTGTTAATCCAACTTCAATATGTTGTGGGCTGTAGCCAGTTAATGTCTCCCAGAAAATTTTGAAAGTCTTTAACAGTCTGCAATTGAACTTTCTTCATTTGTACCTTTTGAGATTTAATTTTTTTGTAAACATATTTTATATCTTAAGCAATTAATAGACTCTTCTCTCTCTCTCTCTCTCTCTCTCTCTCTCTCTCTCTCTTTCTTTTTTAGGAGCAATTTGTAATCCCAAACAAGGCAAAAATTTCTTTATTTCTTCAAACTTTTTCTCTAAAGTATCTACACTTGAATCAGTCAGTTAAGATAATCATCCACATGATGGTAAGTTACAGACTGAGGAAACTGTACACAAATCATTTCCAATGCTGTCATACTAAATATTGGCACTGGGTGGAACTGTGTAACTTCCCTTGTGGGAAAAGTTTTCATTGATAGCTCTTATCAGCCTGACAATTATTACAAGTAGACTTTGTAAAGGCAAATTTTTATCCATCCTTTTCTGTAAATGGTCAACAAAAGGCAGTATTTAAATCAATAATTATAACAGACCATCCTTCATGTAATAGAGAAGACAGAGGAATCACAGGCTGTAAAGAGCCCATTGGCTGAATCACCTTAGTAATGGCTCTTAGATCTGTTACCATTCTCCATTTTCCAGATTTCTTTTTTAGAACAAATACAGGAGAATTCCAAGGACTGGTCTATTCTTCGATATGTTGAACATTTACCTGCTCCTGTACCAGCTGTTCTAAGGCCTGTGAATTTTCTGATGTCAAAGGGCATTGTTTCACTCAGATAGATTTGTCAGTTAACCATTTGAAAGGTAGAGCTGTTGGTACTTTTGAAAGATCAGCAGCTGTTGTGCCCTGTTTTTGTACAACCTGAATGGAGAGTGACTGTTTTTTATAAGACCTTGTAACATTTTTCCCAGAAACAAATGGAACTTTATGGTTTCTTTCTGAGATTGGAGGTTTTCCACTGTTGTAACTATTCATGTACCCATAAATTCATTGCTATGTTAGCCACATATGGCTTTAATTTTTCTCTCTGTTCTTCTGGCCCTACACATTCATCCAATCTTGTGCTTCCCCTTCACCAGAGAAAAAGTTCTAATCCCTAAAAGCTGACCATCTACCTCCTGAAGAGGTCAATTTGGATGTCAAGATTCTGGTACAACTATTGTTACATCCTCCCTTGTGTCTATAAGACCCTCAATTACAATGTCATTTGTTTTTATTTTTATTTTTGGTCTCTGACCATTCACAAAAGTCTGCCAAAATATTTATTTGATGGTTTCTCCTGAAATTTTTGTTTTCTAAGACTGACCTATCATCCACAGCAGTATGGTTTTTAGTATCTATTTCTTTTTTAAATTGGGTTATACATCTTTCTCTGCTACCCTCCCTTTCTCCCTCTCCCTTTTTAGCTTCTCCTGTGCCCCATCCACTCCCAATTTACTTAGGTGATTTTGTCTTTTTTCTCTTTTCTATATAGATCCTTTTATGTCTCTCTTAGGGTCCCTCTTTCTTTCTTTTTTTAAAGTTGTGTATTTTATATATATGAGTGCTCTATCTGCATGTACCGGAAGACAGCATCAGAGCCCACTACAGTTGGTTGCTAGCTACCATGTAAGTTCTGAGAATTGATTTCAGGATCTCTGGAAGAAAATTCAGTACTCATAACCACCGAGCCATCTCTCTAGTCCCCAATATGGTTTTAAAAAATAGGCATTAGGTTCTATAATTGTTCTGGGATGAAGTTTCCTTCAACCAAATTTGACATGGACCCCTGAGAGAGGTCCCCCAGGCATTTCCTGATGGCAAAGTGTTACTCTGTCTGTCCTTTGTTGATCTGCATGCATTGGTCCTTGTTGGCCTTTGCTGCATCTTCTGCCCACTCCAGAAGGCAGGGGCCTTCTGTTTGGATTAGTCCTAGAAAAAACATTGTTTCTAAAAATGCCCAGTCTAGAAAAATACCTTTTCAGGTGACCTTGTTTACCACAATGAAAACATCTGACATTTGTTTTTTCTTTAACCCTCTGGAAATCACCTCTCCTATGCAAGTATCTTCATGGTTATGATTTCAATACTGACTGTATCTCAGATCTGTTCCTGTATGGGTGCTGATCTTTATAGATGAAAGTTTCTGTCCCACTCAGTTTCACAGTCGTTCAGTACAAAAAAGAAACACTCAGAGGCTTATATTAATTATACACTGTTCATAAACTATTAATTAGTTTATTAATTAGAAACTATTAATTAGCTCAGGATTATTATTAGCTAGCTCATACAACTTAAATTAACCAATTATTCTTATCTATGTGGCTTGGTACCTTTTCCCAGTGAGGCATTCTCATCTTGTTTCTTATGCTTCTGGCTGGTGATTGATTCTGCCTTTCCTCTTCTGAGAATTCTCTTAGTCTGGTTGCCCCACCCATACATCCTCCCTGGCTACTGGACAATCAACATCTAATTAAACCAAAGGCAGTGACAAATCTTTACAGTGTAAAAGAGCATTCTTCTGTAGCAGATCTTACAGTGTAAAAGAACATTCTTCTGTAGCAGATCTTACAGGGTAAAAGAGCATTCTTCTGTAGCAGATCTTCTTCTATAGCAGATCTTGCTTTTAAAAGCCTAATTATCCTTTGAATTATGAATTAACATTTTCAAAAGCCAAAGATTCAATTATTTGTCTGGCTTCTGAATTTGGTATCATTCTATTTACAGCTTAAGTTAATCTTTGTTAAAAAAAACAAAACAGTCAGTGAAGGTTTCTTTTGGGCCCTGTATAACTTTAGTAAATGACTGAGTCCTCTTTCTGACTTCTTTTGTCCCAAGCATTCAAAGCTGCTGCATGGCAGAGAGTCTGGGTGTGGTCATCAGTCATCATATAGAGACAGTATTTGTACAACAGCATAATTGCCTTCTTGAAGACGCTGGTCTTGGGAGATTTCAAGACTTCTAGCCCACTTTGTTGCTCAGTGGTCCTAGCCTCAACTTTTTACCATGTCCTCCACTGTAACTGTGGACCAGGTTCCAATATGCTATTGTAACCAAGTCTTTCGGGACAATTCTATTACCAGTTGACCACGAATTCAACATATGCATGCCAGATGAAACAATAGCTTCCTTAAATCTCCTCAAATCTAACATTACCACAGGAAACCAGTCAGATCTGACACAGCCTTGGGGGTACCTGTCATTTGGCAGTTATTTCCAGAAGGTGACTAAATAAATTAAGGCTGATTGTCTGACAACCTTGGACTGTTCCTCTCCAATTTTATAATGTAATGGTGTGGTTGGGTCTTATTTAAATTCCTCTTTCTATATCTGAGTATCCTGATTATCTGTTTTAATAAGTTTTTCTAAGGCTTGTAACTTATCATTCAAAATTCCATTATTTTCTTTAGTAATTAGTTGTAGGGCCTGCATATTATCAGTAGTAACCTCTGTAATGCCTGTATCTTGGTAGTCATCTCAACCAACTTTTTTAGATATAAAACAAGATGTATCAAACTGATAATATTTATAATTGACATTATATAAATCCCATCTAAGTTAAATTATCCTCTCTGTCCATCCTTTTTTTTTTTTCAAGGAATCCTCTCCCCCCTTTTAAGAGTTCCCAATTGTCTTACCAAATCTGCTGATGACAACGGTAAAGTCTGTGGTCGGCTGCCTCTACTTAGCATGTCTGAGCTGAAACACAGGCGGTGTCCATCCTGGCTGAGAACAGCTGCCCTGACCCTGTGTCAGAAGCCTGACAAGGGGTTCCAGGGAAGGCCCACACTTGTGGGGAGAAAAGGAGTCAAACAGCCAGCGATCTGCAAGGGAAACGTGTGAAATCAGCCATGTGAGTGGCAGGAAGTGAAAGCACAGAGCTACCTGAAGGCAGAGCTGGTTGGTGCTGAGAGGCTAAATACAGAGGCATTTGGAGCCAAGCGCCTGTGGAGTCTGGGACTTGTGGACATTTGCTGTAGAGACTGCTATAGGAAAATTCCAGACTTGCTCAGAGGGCTTGGGGAAGGAAGGGAAAGCCAGACAGATGTGGTGACTCCCCAACGAAACACAGTTCTAACCCATGAACATCACAACCTTGTCTGTCTTTGTGATCCCATCTCAATCTGAGAGGTGAGTCCAGTGCTCCAAAGCTGACCCCCAACCCCCTGCCTTGCCCCTAGCAATGCTCCACCATCCCCTGAACGTTTTCCTTTCCTAACAGAACAAATTCTACATCTATGTACATATAGGTCACCAAAATTGGGTGTCTCCAATAGAAACCTCTGTCTAGAACTCCAGACGTATACTCAATACCTTCACTCAGAGTTCTCTAGAACAGCTCAGATTCAGCATGGCCCCAAAACTACTACTTTTTTTAAAATTTATTTTTATTTTATTTTTATTTTTTTTTAAGACAGAGCTTCTCAGCATAGTCCTGGCTGTTCTGTAGCTCACCCTGTAGGATGGCATCAGACTCAGAAATCCAACTGTTTTGGCTACTCAGTGCTGGAATGAAAAGGTGTGTACCACCATTGCTTGGCCCAAACCTTCTTTGTAACATTCTTTCTAAAAAAAATTATCCCGGCAACCTTTCCTCTTCATCTGACAGCATTTCCTTCCTTCCACTGACTCATGGCTCTCCTTGGTTTGTAGGTATAAAAGGCTGGAGATGGCTTAGTGGTTAAGAAATTGGCTGCTCTTTCCTGGGTTCCAGTTCGATTCCCAGCACACACATGACAGTTCTATGGTCTATGCCTTCAGTCTCCGGCTACCGAAGCCTTTTTCCGGTCTCCTGGGGCGCTGAACGTTACTTGCACAGACGTACGTTCGAGCAAAACACACATACATACACAAATAAGATTATCTTTAGCTCACCGTGCCACCGGCGCCCTCAGAATCAAAGTCCCTGGGCTCATCCGCTTCGTCTTCCATCTCTCCCGAAGCGCATCTCCACGCCTCTCAACACATGGGTCTTGCTGTAGAGAAAACCTCTTGAGCCTCCGTTGCACTGGGTGACAGACCGGGACCTCCCCCAACCAGGCTGCCTAGTCCCTACCAGTCCGGTGAGGCTGAAAAGACCTGGCCAGGGGCTGCCTCTGACGTCAGGTGAGCGCAGTGCGGTCTGCAAGCTCCGCCCGGAGCCACAGTTAGTCAGTCGGGGCTGAGCGGAGCCGCTCCGGGCTGGGACCCAGCGAAGTTCCGCCGGCCCGTTTTGAACGGTTTCCGTGTCACCTAGGCGGCGTATTCTCGAGTCTCTTCGAGTCTACCAGTTACTTAACCTAGGAGGCAGCACGAACTCAGGCTCACAGATCGCTTAAACTTATACCTGGCACAAGCGATGCCGAAAGTGCCTCCCCTGACGCAAAGCGCTGAGGCTTCTGGGTAATGTAGTATCCTCAAACCATGACCCTTTATGGGAGAACACCCTAAGGTTGGAAAATGGGTAAGCACAGAATCTTGGCCAGCAGCCTCGCTGGTACCCCGAAGTCCTGGTCTCGCTCCTGCAACAGGGGACATCGTACTGTGGTTGCAGTGGAAAGGACTGCAGCCAATCACAGAAGTGTAGAGAGTCCTTATTTCAGATATTCTCCAATGCTACAAAATCAGATTACACAGGCAACCAGATTTGTCTGTCCCAAGAATTGTGCTCACCTGATGACCTTTGAGTTAATAGTATTCCCTTATTTCTATTCAGAGATGTGTGACCTGACCCTTTATAAAGTCAGTTGTGGGGCTGGTGAGATGGCTCAACAGGTAAAGGCACATGCTCCCTACCCTGGCATCCTGTGGTCAAGCCCCGGGACCTGCTTGTCCCAAGCAGTGGGAAGAAGGATGAGATTTTGCCGTTTGGAGCCTGTGTGATCCTCAGCAGACACTCGGCCTCTCTGGGCCTTTACTGTTCCATGTTTCTGGGGAGTTCATTCGAGGATGTCATGAATATGCCCCATGGACCATGGCCCCTGAAAGTGACAGGTCCCCTAATGCATTCTGCAGGGGCATTTTGGTAGAGCTGCAATTCAGTAGTGACTGTTCAAAGTCCCCATGGTTGTCCCTGCCATGTCCCAACCCACTTAATGCCCATCCCCAAATCCAAAAAGTCCAGGCTCCCTGTGAATTGCAAGGCTTTTATTGCTGGAATCCTGTGTTTAGACACCTGTAGGGTAGGGGTAGGGCTTGCTACATTTTTGCAGGTGAGCAGGCAAGTGGCTTTCTTGAGTCTTCTGGCAAAGATGGAATCAACAGAGAGGGTGAGCATCTATTTTTGCCTGCAAAGAAAAAAGCGGCAAAGCGTCAGAGGTGAAGGAGATCTCAGCAATCATATATGCAACAATACTTTGGAGGGACCTGCACTCTTTCTGCAACAGATCCTGGGTCTGACTTGACGCAGGGAGTCTCCTCTGCATTCTGTCTCCAACAAACCACTCAGGGCGAGTCTTGTAAACAGCCTCCAATCCAGCCTGATGGAAGGGCCACCTGTCTTTGGGACACCTTGGGCACATGTGGGGTAGAATGGAGAAGTAGCTGGGGAGAACCTGGCGGGTCTCCAAGTGAGCCTGCTGGCAGCTGTGACCCCACAGTGAACTGATTCCTGTCACATGATGACCTCAGAGGCATGCAGCTGGGGCGGTGACAGTCCCACCCGTTCTAGGGATAAGAGGGGATTCAACTAGATTCTTCAGCTGAGCAACCACACAGTGACCTCGGAGATCCAGAGGACAAGAAAAAAGATGAGTGTTTGGGGGTGTGTGGTAGACTTGAAAAGTAAGGATAAAAAATCCAGACTGGAGAAGGGTTGCCAGACACTGATGCTGATGGACTCGGGAGGCTGGGCCAGGAAGCCTGATGGAGGCCAGGTGGTACCATGGGGGCAGGGGTCCTGGGGGTCGGGTGTGGCTTGACTGAGCTGCACAGCCAGTGTCCTTCCTGCCTCTTCCTCCTGACATCTTTCTGGGTTAACAGAGAGTTTGCAGTGCTGGGGAGGAGCACATGCTCCATCCCTAAGCTGGGGTGAGCAGGGCGGGCACACAGGCTCCAATCCAGACACACAGAGAACTCACCACCAAACTCTGCACATTCGCCCTGTCTTCCTCTGTCAGCTTGTTATCAACACATGTCTTCAGATTTGTAGCAACTTCCAATGTGGCAGAGTCGTTCCTGTACTGGCTCACGAAATCCACATAGTCAGAAACAGACGGGCCAAGGAAAAGAGCAAGGTCCTCATTTATAGCTGGGCAAATGCCACAGTCTGGAACACAAAGAAAAGGTGATCCTCCATTGAAAGCCTTGCATCAGAACACAGATGTCCTTCCTGGGGAGTGAGGGTGTGAGAACCCTGGAGACCCTGCATCCCTGACACCCACACCCTAGTACCCACTTCCCCGAGGTCACCCACATCCTAGTACCCACTTCTCCGAGGTCACCCACACCCTAGAACTCACTTCCCCCAGAAGTCAGGAGCAGGGCAGCCCCAAGCAACACGAGAGCACCAGTGAGCTTCATGGTAATGGTGGCAGGTGCTGCTACCCAGTTTGGACTCTTTTATAACTGCCCTGTGCAGCTCAGGGTACAGGGAGGGGCTGGGTCTGATCTCTACAGGCCTGTCCCAAAACCCTGCTTGAACCTCCTTGGTGGGGGGGGAGATGTGTGTTTTGGCAAGAGGATAAGATCCTGGTCAACAAAGGGCCCTGGTTCATCCTGGTCCTTTTCTTAGTGCTGTCCTTAAGGTCACATGTCATGTGAAGACCAAGGAAGTGATGGGCAGGGAGAGGGCCAGGTCCCTCCATCAGCTCTCCAGAGTGACATCTCTGTTATCCTGTCACACCAGGGAACTCAACGTTTATTAAAATCCTCCCTAGTAGTCAATGTCTAGGGTAGACCAGACCACTGACCACTTGGGGACCCTGCTCTGACTGTTTCCGTCCCTGCCCCCATCTTTCACTTGCTGCACGGCTCCATTGAAGCCGACTCTAACCCTGAAGTCCTCCTGCTGTCGGAGTCATCCTGCAACTCCATTTTTTTTTATTGTCGTTGCTATTTTGTTTGTTTTGCTTGTTTTGATTTTTGTTAGGGTCTCTATACATAGCTCTGGCTGTCCTGGGACTCACTCTGTAGGCCAGGCTGGTCTTAAACTCACAGAAATTCACCTGCCTCTGCCTCCTGAGTGCTGCTATCAAAAGCACGCAGTATCCAGCTAAACTTGACCTATTACACCCTTTGCTGATGGTTCTAGTTTTTCACAGACAGATTCTTGCCCAGGTTAGTTTTGAGTTCATAACCCTGAGAATGGAGTGTGTGTGTGTGTGTGTGTGTGTGTGTGTGTGTGTGTGTGTATGGCGAATTCTGCTTTCCCTGGGCCTGGTAGGAAGCGTTGTTAATATTCATTAACAATGCCTGATGTGCTTTGTTCAATACTTCCAATTCTAACACTTTGGATCCAGAGGCAGGTGGACCAGTGTGAGTTTGAGGTCAGCCTGGTCCCCACAGGGAGTTCCAGACCAGCAGGACATACACTTTAAGTTCATACTGCAAGTGGCTCATGTTAATTTTCTCCTAACTAAGTAAGGATAGCTTATTTGGAGCAATCTGATTGCCTAATTGGTCACTGTCTGACTGTCTTGCTCCAGTTGCTTTGACTTTCCGCCAAGAACCCAGCATGACGGCCGTGATAGCAACACCAGCCACTTTGAATACTCCATAGGTTCCTTGAGGAAATCAGGGGGCAATCTCAGCAGGATACCCCAGATTCTGAAGACACAGCGTCAATCTGACTGGTTCAAGGGGTCTAGCAGAGTTTGACTATCACAGAATTCTTGATGACCCCTCGACTATTTCTACTTGGGTCATACAGAAAGCGCCCTGTCTCCCAGTGGCCCAGCAGAGGGGGCTACTAAGAGGCAGGCTATGGTAGGCTCCAGTGCCCCTCTGGCCTATGGAGGGGGGCTGCTCAAACCCATTCACTCTGCTGGGAGACATGCATGACTCTCTCCCCTGGGACTGACATTGTGGGCCTCATGAGAGGATACTGTCTTTTGCCTCCACTACTTTCAGGAGTGTGGGCTGAATGGACAGCGATGGAGAAGGGGGCAGCATTCAGTGGAGCAAAGTCTGAGGCAGAGGAATGACAGTTGTGTGGTCAGCAGGCAAGCAGCTTGATGTGTACTAGCTGAAGCATTGTACAGGGACAGGGCAGGAAAAGGAAGGGACACAGCAAGGGAGGGCAGAGAGCAGAGTCTGAGGAAGGATCAAAGGGGACAGATCCAGAGGACAGAAACTTCAGGACCTGTTTGACAAAGAGGTCAGGGAGCTGTGGCTTCTTTAAACACAAGAGCCTCACCAGGGCCAAGAACCACAGCACTGGTGAGTGCCAAGGAGGTCTGACTTCCTACCCATGAGGCTCTGGGTCCCATGCTGGTGTGAGGCCTGTTCCCTAGAGGGTTCCTCCTGCTGCTGCTCCCACCTGCCAGCTGCTTCTGCTCCCTGCTGGGACACAGGGAGGGCAATGAAAGCTGCCCTATCCAGCACCTGGAGAGTGCCCCTTCCTGTACCCATTTCTACCTTTGTGAGCAAAGGGATCCCAGACAGCTAACTGGGGACACAGCTCCCTCAGCCTCCCACAAACATGGATTCCATGTGGGAAGCACCAGTCTTCCCCTCATTTGTCTGGACTCTGCCAGTACCCCGACCTCTCTGTGTGCCCTGAAACTGGAACTCATCATTACCCTGGCCTGTTTGTCATCCAGAGCATCTCTGTACCAGGTACGGCACCACCTCCCCATAAGCATGACCCCAGGGAGAGCCCAAGCCTCCAAATGCTCTGCTCTCATGTCTGATGTGCTCGCCCTTCACCTGGCGGAGAGAGTCAATGTTTAATTCCCCAGACTGCATCCAAAACCACCAAATCAGAGGGACAGCCTGCTATGGCGTCCACATGTCTAGGCCACACCAAACCCACCTTGCACCCTGGTCCCAGTGTGGCAGGTGAGGGGCAGTGCATGGTGCGTGGCTGTAAAGCATGTGCAGCCTCTGCCCTCCTACTGTCTTCCGCCAGCCCCAGCTCCCCCACCCCTCACGCTGCCCTTCTGCTCTGCACCAGGAGGTCAGACAGGACAAGGCAGTGGGTGGATGCGGCTGCTCTGTTTTGAACTTTCAAGACTCCAGACCATGAACCAAGTTAACTTCTTTCCCATGTACCTATCCTGGGTGTTTTGTCATAGCAATGGAACACGGATTATACACCTCAGTGCACGTAGACCCCACTTATCTAAGAACACATCAAGCCTGCACCAGTGCACTGGGCTCTAAAACATGTTGCCACGTCTCTATGTCCTCTTGCATCATTTGATTTTGGTGTCCCTTAATGACTAACATCACAGGAGAGCAAGGCATGTGCCAATCTATCCCAGGGACAGCACATAGGAGGTCTCCACAGATGCTGGGTAGGTGCGTCAAAGGTCTAGTTCACTTCTCTCAAGTCTATAATCAAGACCTTTCTTAAAACATGAAACCAACAGCCAGGCAGTGGTGATGCACACCTTCAATCCTAGCACTTGGGAGGGAGACAGGCAGGTCTCTGTTGAGTTCGAAGCTAGCTTGGTCTACAGAGTGAGTTCCAGGACAGCCAAGACTGTTTCACTGAGAAACCCTGTCTTGAAACCAAACCAAACCAAACCAAACCAAACCAAACCAAACCAAAACCAAAAAACCATGAAACAAACCGTATCTTCCCACATGGCCTCGGCTGGCTTCAAACTCTCAGCCTCCTGGCTACACTTTCCTGTTTACATTGTACAAGTGCTTATAGAATTTGTCTGGTATTAGTTTTTGAAAGTAAAGAGTCTAAGTGTCTTGATAAGTCAGAACTAAGTTGTTCATTGTCAAAGGCACATGGTTGTCACTTTGTCTCCATCAGCGATGACACATGAAGTTTGCCAAAGACTCAGAGAGCCATGAACCTTCTGACTTACTGGTTAGCCAAGCAAAACAGGATTTGCATCCGGTAACTGTTTTGGGAAAGAGGTGCCAAGCACCAAGACCCACTTAGGAGCTGTCCACTATGTCCTGTGTTCCTTGTGCTTATGACCTTGCTGGACCCTAGGGCTGCTGAGGCCTGCACAATATCCCTGCCCAGCTGAGGCCTTCTCTTTCTTGGAAGTATTAGGAGTGGAGACGGGGGCGTACTGTGGCTAAGATGTTTCTTCTGTTTTGTGACACCATTAGCCCTCTGCTACCTGTCAGAGCTAGCATCAGACTTTTTGTAGATCTCACAGAGGTTAAGACCCTTGACCCCACATGTCAGAGGACACAGGACATGTACTCATTTCCCCAGTGATTGGAACTGCTCACTCGAACCATTAGTATTCTCTTACAAGATGTCTCTACTGTTTTCCCAGCTCCTCACGGTTTCCTATTTGTGTTCATGTGTGTGCATGTGTGTCTGTGAACTCACACAAATCTTCATTTGTGTGTGTGGTTACACAGTATGTTGGTGAGTTTTATGTCAATTTGATACAAGCTAAAGTCATCAGAGAGGAGGGAACCTCAATTAAGAACATGCCTCCACATGGTAGTGCTGGCACATGCCTTTAGTCCCAGTATTTGGGATCCAGAGAAGGATTTCTTTGATTTTGAGGCCAGCCTGGTCTGCAGAGAGTTCTAGGATGGTCAGGGCTACACAGAAACCGTTTCTTGAAACACACACACACAAAAAAAAGAAAAGAAAAGAAAAGAAAAATAAAAGACAAGAAAAAAAATGCCTCGGTAAGTTTGAACTACAGGAAGCCTGTAAGGCATTTTCTCTCCCCCACATCTCAGACAGGTTTTTCTCTGTGTAGCCCAGGCTGTCTTGCAACTCACTCTGTAGACCAGGCTGTCCTCAAACTCAGAGATTCACCTGCCTCTGCTTCCCAAGGGCTGGGATTAAAGGCGTGCACCACCAACACCTAGCCAGGCATTTTCTTGATTAGTGATTAAGGGCAGATGGCCAGGTTATTGTTAGTGAGGGGATCACTGAGCAGGTGGCCCTGGGTTCTATAAGAAAGCAGGCTGAGCAAGCCATGGGAAACAAACCAGTAAGCAGCACCTGTCCTGGGCCTCTGTATCAGTTTCTGCCTCCAGGTTACTGGCCTGCTGAAGTGTCCTGATTTGGATGTTGAATGGTTCTGCAAGTATAAGTCAAATAAACCTTATCGTCCTTAATTAGCTTTTGGTCATAGTGTTTAATCACAACAGTAGCAATCTTTTTATTTATTTATTTTTTTATGATAGGGTTTCTCTATGTAGTAACTTCTATCATGGAACTTGCTTTATAGACCACGATCGCTTCGAACTCACAGAGATCAGACTGCCTCTGCATCCTGAGTGCTGGATTAAAGGCATACACCACCAGGACCAGGTGAGAAAAAGCCATCTGATCTAAAGCACATGGTATACATATGTGTATGCACATGGCAGTCAGAGATAGACAATCGGGTGTCTTCAGTTGTTCTCCAGTGTATCAATGTCAATCGTGTGTATGTGTGTATTTATATTTGATTATGTGCCTGGGGATTTTTTTTCTGCATGAATGTCGTATGATCTGTGTGCAGTGCCTGTGGAGGTCAGAGGCAACTGTTGGATCCTCTGGACTGGAGTGACAGATGGTTGGTAGCCGCCATGTGGGTCCTCGGTCCTCTTAACAGCTGACCACCTGATAGTTTTTGAGACAGGATCTCTTACTCAACTTGGAGTTTGCTAATTTGAAAAGAATGGCTGGCCACTGACCTTCAAGGGGTGAACTCCATAGGGCTGGGGCACAAGGTGTGCTATTGTGTCTTGCTTTCCTATTGGGTTCTGGGAATTGAAATTCAAGTATTTATGCTTACACAGCAAGCACTTCCCTGACAGATCCATGCTCCTGGCATCTTGCTTCTGTCTTTGGAAACATGTGCTCATACTGAAGGACTGAAGGAAGTAATTCCCCTGCCCAGAGGACAGGAACATCTAGAAATACTCATGATTTCTTCTGGAAGAACGCCGTCATTCATTCCTGTTTATCTGCTCATCCAACCATTCATGCCAGCATGGACTCACGTTATTTCACAATTCTAGTATAATCCAGTGGGGTGTTATTTAGTTTGTGGTTCAAATTGTTGGATATTGACCATTAGGAGCTCATTTCGACTCCCTTGTGGGCACAGGTGTCATGGTGTGTGTGTGTGTGTGTGTGTGTGTGTGTGTGTGTGTGTGTGTATACGAGGACAATTTGCATGAGTTAGTTCTCTTCTCCAACCATGTGGGTTCTGGGTTTTGAACCCAGGTCAGCAGGTTTAGCAGCAAGCACCTTTATTGACTGAATTATCTCAACTGCCTCCCACCCTACTGTTTGAGACGACGTCTGTTATTGAACCTGGAGCTCCCATGGCATTGGTGGAGCCACCACACTCAGCTCCTACAGCGTTCTGGGGATCTGAACTCAGGTCCTTAGACTTGCATAATGAGCACTTGTCCACTGAGCCATCTCCTTAGTCACTCCGTTATTGTGTGTGGAGCAGTGGATTAACCTCAGTGTTTTGCACATGCTAAGAAACACTCTACTACTGTGTTAGTGAGCTAGTGACAAAACCCAGATAAGAAGCAGCTTACCACTTAAGTTTGCAGGGAAATAATTTATGACAGTGGGGCAGGCATGGTGGGGCAGGCATGGTGCAGGCACTCAACGTGGTTGATCACATCCACAGTCAGGAAGTAGAGAGACGTGAATGCCCAGCTTGCTTTCTCCTTTCCACTCCATCTATTATCCTAGTTCACGCTGAACACATAAAGTCAGACATCAATTAACCTAGCTTCCACACTCCCCATAGATAGCGTTGATTCCATAGTGATTCTAAACCCAGTCAGGATGACCATCAAGATTAACAATCACATACAGTAAACCTCCTGTATTCAGAAATGGTTAACAGTAGGCCCAGCTAACAATGTCATTTGTGTCGCAAATCTCTTTCTGAGCGTAGTAGGTTGAATTGAACTTGAGAGAGTCCACACACAGCACTGCCTGGGGACAGTGGAGCGCTCTAGTTTATACACGGCCAGTCCACAGTGGCCTGTGGGGCTGTGGACAATGGAGAGTTTATGGCACAGTGAGAAATCCCTCCCTCTACTACTATCTGCTGTAACCGCGTTGACTCTACTGTTTAGACCTCTTTGAGGCCTGCTTTCTGGTGAACTTGAGACAGACAAGAGCAGGATGACAGGGAGGAGCTCCCTAGGCGGGGAGGAAGAAGTTGCAGCATGATGCAGTTAGTAGAATAAAATCCTCATGAGCCCTTGGGGATCCACACATGACCAAATACACTGGGACTATCCTGGTTGGTAGCCACTAAAAGCCCAAGATGGTTCCCCCATGTCCTCAGTGGTCTAGTCCAAAGGTTGTAGCAGCTAAGATTTCCAACTCTCCCCAGTATGGCCCCTAAATTATACACACTTCTGCTCAGATCTCGAACTCAGGCAGATGCAGAATACTGGGCAATTGTCTTGACCCCTGTGGTTTCCACCTCCAAGCTTGAGGAGGACATGCTTGGAGCCAGGAGAGGAAGCCCAGGTGACAGTTGAGCCAGGACAACAGTGCACTTGTCTCTGCATGTGGCTGCTTGCAAAGGTCAGCTCTAACCATCTTCCGCCAAAGGGACAGCCACTTCTGTACAGAAAGTGATCACACAGGATGTCTCTCCAGTCATTTGTTCTTCCGAGTGGGAGGGGATCCTAAGCTCTCTTCCCCATGCAAGGGGGAAGGGGATCCATAGGTGCCAGGTTCTTGCCCAAAGGCATTTGGAACTCCTGGATGTCAGGGTAGGGTTTGGTGTTGGATGGGGTGGGTGGGACGGGGATCAGGAAGACAGCAGTTTATAAGGTAGCAGCATCTGCTCTGAGAAGAGCACTTAGCACTCTACACCATGAAGGGGACGCTGCTTCTGCTGGCCTTGCTGGTGACCGGGGAGCTGGGCTTCCAGACAAGTGAGAATGGGAACATATGGCCTTTCTGACCCTTGCTCACTCCTTCTCCCTTCCATATTGATCTGTTTGGAGATCTAGGGTTCTTTGGAGAGTCACTAGCCATTTGCAAAAGACCCTTAAAATTTCCTCCTCAGGAAGGCTACAGTTGGGATGGGTGGAATGTGGAGACAGAGGTGAGGTGGTGATGGTGGACTCTTAGCTGTATGTACAGTTGAAGCTGAGTCATGTGTGGGATTTATATGAAGGTCAGATGTGCAGGCTGGTACACTCATACATCACCCTTCTGCTGCTGGTGTGTGTCTTTGGAAACTGTGTGCTGTATCTGGGAGGCAGTAGCCTTTGGGAGGGCAGGACTGTGTGGAAGGTCAGTTAACACGTTTGTAGAAGTTCAAAGAAACCCTGAGCCTCCATTTCTACCAGCCTGGGGCTCCATTAATGATGTCCTTCTTCTGTGTTTGCAGCGGAAGCATGCATTCCTTTCTTTGAAGTCTATGCTGCAGTCTCCATTGGTAACACGAAATTATTGAATGCCGTCCTTAACAAGTTTGACCCTACTGACGAGGAAAGGAAGGCTTTTGAAAAAATCCTGGACTGCTTCAATGATGCAGGAGTGGAAGGCAAAATCCTGAAAGCCAAAGTTTTGGTAACTTCCTCCCCACCCTGTTTCTCTCTGCACCATATGGTAGAACGCTGTGTAGAAATGATGCAGGCAACCAGTCACATGTGTCAGGGAACCCACATGATAGCAGTGAACCTTTGCCCACCCTAGCATATGTCCATGCAGCATGCTGGTCCACATTCAGTCTGTCTATGCAAGGTCCTGCAGAGCACTCCCCAATGATGTCTGACCACCGGGTTCTCACCACACCAGGGCAGGCAGGGACATAGAAGGGTCCTTTGTTGGCTTCTGCATAGGAAGGACACCCTCAGCTCTCCTCTAAGGTGCCTGAAACTTCTGTCTACTGGCCAGGGTCACCTTCTCTGGGGCCTCCCTTAATTCTGCTCTCCTGTCTTAGATGGAGCCCTCTTTTTACTGACTTCCTGAGAGCCACAGCCAGAACCTCCCTCCATGGCTTAGATGCCAACACCACCACCAAAGAGTGCCTGTGGCTACTCACCCCAGCTGTTCCTGCTCTCCTTAGTCTCTTATTTAAGCATAGCTGGATTACAGTGTTACATATTTTGAATATTTCATCTCTCACTCTCTGTTTACCAAAGTACTTTTAGTTTGGGTGTCAGGTTCTGCAAAACCACAGCACTCTCCAAGCAGGAATTTCTTCCAGCACATTCACACAGGGATGTATTTCTAACTCAGCTATATAGCCAATATGTTGACAGACGTCGTCAGGTATAAGATATTATCAAAGCTAGAACTCAGCCATCTTGACCCCTCTCCTAGCCCCCATCATGCCTTAGGAAACTTCTCCCTTCATCCCTGCCTGGCTAGGGCGGCTTTTCAAGTCTCCTGCTGTCAGCTGTGGAGGAGCTGCAGCTCCCTGGAGCAGAATCGGTTGCTGGAGCCCTGAAGCACTGCAGGGGATTTTCTTCCCTGTGCAGAAGGAGTAGCCTCATCATGGGTGACTGGGGAGCACTGCTGGGGTTCTGCACTTTGCCTGTAACCACCTCTGCCCCTTTCTGTCTTTTGGATTTCCAGGAAGCCATCGTCTTCAGCCCAGAATGCAGAGAATACTATACCCAAGACACCATAGATAAATTTAAGGGATTCCTTTCCAAATTTAGCTTATTTGGAAAATGATGACTGATCTGAGAGCCACCTTGCTGCCCTGTCCATTTTTTGTCCTTAAGCTGGAATACAGACACCTGTCCCCTCCTTGCTTAGTCTGTTAATCTGGTTCAATAAACACCTGCAGCTCTGCTCTGGGTCCCATGTCTGTGTGTTGTACAGGCGCCATGTGATGTCTTCAGATCTACGAGACAGAGAAAGGACTTGAGTAGACACTCAAAGCGGGGCAAATGCCACTGACTGACTAGGTATCGTCAGAAGACCTTGCATTCTTTTTGCTATGTAGACGTGGCTGGTCTCAAACTCACAGAGATGCACCCATCTTTGTCTCCCAAGTGCTGCAATTAAAATTATTGGCCCCCACCATGCAAGGCTCACTGCAGCTTTGTGAATCTGTAAGACAGGAGCTGTCTGAGACTAAAGGGCATGAAGTCAGCCACAGGTTTCATCTCCCACTGCTAGGATAGAAGGGAGATGCACAGGTACTCACCTCATACACTGTGTCTGGGTTTGTCACAGGTCAGCTCCCTCCTTATAGATCAGTCCACAACAGTGCCGTGACTCAGATGAGTTAGATGTGCTCATCAGACTCTCTTGGTCTGCAAGAAAGGTCACCATTTGTCATAGCCTAGTCTACATAGCAAGTTCTAGGACAGCCAGGGCTACATAGAAAGACTCTGCCTCAAAAACAAAAATAAAAATTAATAATAAATCAAAAACTCGAATGAGAAAAGAGTTGAATAGATGCACAACTAAAGAGAAGAGAGAAGGTCTGGGAAGAAGGCTCAATGGGTGAAGTTCTTCTATGCGTTTCTAGTGACATGAGTTAGAATCCCAGAACCCATCTAAAGTCAGACTTGGAAACATGCTAATAATTCCAGATGTCTTGTCATGAGATGAGAGGAGATAGGTGAATGCCCAAAATTCTGGAGTCCAGACAGCCACAGAGATCTGTCTTAGACAAGGTAGGTGAGTAGTGACACCCAAGATTGTCCTTTGACCCCCATGAGCACACTGTGGCATGTGCATGTATGCTCTCTTTCATACACTCACACACAAAACATACAGACAACTAAAAGAAGTGAAATGGCGAGATGTACAAACAAAAATCATGAACAATTTAGTGATTAGGGAGAAGCAAAATAATAGCACAACCAATGAGAGCGGCAAATATTGAGAAGAGCAATTGAGCAGAGCAAGTGTTGGAGAGCTTGTGAGGGACGAGTCATATGGACAGGACACAGATTGTCAGTGTATAAGATAAACATGCACATAGCCTTTGACCGGAGGGCCGTGTGCATCTGTTTCCGTATGTGACAGCTTGACTGCTTCCTAGGGAAGGCTGACCAGTCTTAGAAAGACCACAGGGCCACTCCAGGAACACAGTGCTCATGTGCAAACCAGTGACTCCTGCGTGCACAGACTGGCTTCTCCTTTTATAAAGCACCCAAGCCAGTGTTTCTCCAAACCAACACCTCAGGACCAGGCATGGCTATAATATGAAACCTTTGGGATTATTCAGAGCAGTAAATCCTAGAACTGTTTACTCTGCCTGTGGAATCCCAATTAAAGGATGAGGGCTCCTGATCAACACTGGTGTCTTATGTGGCCGTGTGGCATGGTGTAGGCCTGCTATTGGGACATGTAAGTACCATGTTCCCTCACTCCCGACCTTCCTGTGCTATCAGTCATGTCTTTAAGGGAAAACCTCATGGGTAAAATGAGAAACCCAGGCCTTTGGTGCCTGGATATTAACAAACAGGAGGCACTAGGAGGTAATTATTCATAGCAGCTTCATTTAGAATGGTCCTAACTGAAAGAGATCTGTCTCTTAACAGATGAGCAAATGATGGACTAATAATGCAAGAGAAAACTGCCTCATACCACAGCAATCAAGCACTCATATTCTAATGGAGAAATCTTTAGGATCATACATGAATGAAAGATGCTTATTTTATATTGAGGTTTATTGGGATGCCATCCCCTTAAGCCTCTCAGAATCCAGAAGCAACAGTACAACAAGAGAAAACTGACTAAAATGGGTTCTGATGCTGAACAATCTGATTATACACGTCTTCTCATCAAGGCCCATTTATTTTTCCAGTGTTCTCCCCTATGCTCTCTCGATGTTCTCTGTATGTTCTTAAATCCCACAAGGTTTCTAAGGTTTGTTGTTATATACCTACACAGAATCAATTAACAATTTTTTGGCCATAGCAAGGATACCAGCCATGCATTTCCCAGGACTACAAAAACAGAGAAGTCTGCCAGGTGGTGGTGGCACACACCTTTAATCCCAGCACTCAGGAGGAAGACTCAGGTGGTTCATGAGTTTGAGACCAAATAAATAACTAAATAAAAAGAAAGAAACCAGATGATCCTGACAAAGCAGATGCTTGCTCCCTTGCATACGTCTCAGAGGGGGCGTGGCTGTGGATGCCTGGACACATCTGAAACTGATAGAGGAAAGACCTATGTTTTCTAGGAGGGAAGAGAGGGAGGGGCTTTGTGTGTTAAATACATTTGTGTGGTTATGTAAGGTAGAAGTTTGCAATTAGTAAATATAGAAAAAGAGGAAAGAAAAAAGTTGGCAGTGCTGTGCAGTCTCTGAGCTCTTCCGTTCCAGTGGCGGCTGGGAACCCAGCATCTGTGGAAGCCAGCGTACGCTGTGGGGGGGGGGACCAAGGATGGCACTGGATCTGTGTTGGCATTTTTGCCAATTTTTCCTGAGTGAGAAGAATTTCCTTTCCCTGCAGCCTTTTTGAGATTTCAGGTCACCAAGTATATATTCTGTATATCAAGATTATATGGCCAATGAAAATTCATCCAGTATAATCATACATGGCAGAGTTGTGCCCAATTTTTGATTAATACACATATGAGGTTTTTGTGGAGCAGTCCCACTATGGAGAAGGGAGTACTATGGGTTGACAAGGGTTTTACAGAAATGACAGTGGCCATTCAAAGTCAGGTCACCAAAGCTTTGCAAGTTGAGTGTTAGCCTAGTGATTGTCTGCTGTGCTGTCTCTCACTGTGCAATACCTGCACCACAGTAATTTTATTTCCATGAGCTTCGGAAAGAGGAAAACAAATGCAGAGTACAATTCCATCAGTGAACACTGGGATGGGCAGTTAGGAGAGGAGTGAGTATAAGGGGAGAGGAAGAAACATTAGGAGCAATGAAGGTGCTCATCATCATGACTGTAGTGATGAGTTCACGGGTTAGTACATTAAATTACACTTTAATTACACACAACATGGGGCACATTAATTCAAGCTCAATAGAGTTGTAATTAAAGAAATGGTTCAGTACAAACGAAATGACTAAAAGCACAAAAATAAGGAATTCATCTCTACTGAAAAACAAGAAAGTTTGACAAGTGCACTGTTGTCCTATCCTCTTTGGGAGAGAGGCCTACTTCGAAGGACACAGAGCATCATGAGTGATAAAAACTGACTTTAGTCCTAGATCACACACATGGGTGGGCATCTCTTTCCTTTCTCCACTTTCTGATCCACGTAGCCCAGGCAATCCAGTAACATTTGATCATCTACCATTATTTTGAGTATCAACAGCAACATTTGAACATCTGCCATTGCACTGAATATCGACAGAGAAACAGCCAGGGAAGGTCTGAGACTGTGTGTGCACCCTTACCTCTCACAGCTACAGTGAGCAGAGCATTCCAGAAACACATTTAGATATTGACATTCCTGGATTTGCTGCCCTCAGCTTTTGTTAATCAAACCCAGGGTATGGATGTATTTGTGGCAGAATGTAATGGGCTCATTCCATGCCTGCAGCCCGTTTGGGATAACACATGAGTACACACCAGGGTATTCCCTGAACTCCAAAGCCTTTTTTCAAAGTGAAATTTCTAGTACCAAAAGGGGGAGCCATTGACCTAAGGTCTCCTTCAGTGTGGATCCTTTGATGTTTGAGGAGACTGGACTTGTGGGTGAGAGTTTTCTACATGCACAGCACCTGTATTGTTTCGGTCCAGTATTGCTTCTCTGGTGTTGATAATCTGGTCTTTTGTAGTCCAAAACTGACCTTTGGGTGGTGTTTGTCAGCTTAGTGACATTACCTTGGTCCAGCTGAAATCGTCATTGTGAGGCCCCATCCTCACTTTTAGATTTCAAAGGTCACTGTTAGATATGGTCATGGGTCACTGCAGAAAACTTAAGCATTCTAAATGTCATATACAGTATATTTTAAGAGGTTAAAGGAATATAATGTGTTGTGTACATCCAGAGTACGAAAACTGAATTCCTAGTTACATCATAGAGACTCAAGGCAGAAATCATGTAAAGGAAGGTGGGGAATCCTTTTTCTATAATCATTTAGTATTCTATATGACCATTAATAGCATAAAATACTATATATATGCTGTGGGAAAATGCCCTTGTACATACTAAAGATTTGTGACTCATATTAGTTTAATAAAACACCGATTGGCCAATAGCCATGTAGGAAATATAGGTAGGGTAAGCAGACTAGGAGAATTCTGGGAAGAGGAAAGGTAGCGATGGAATCACCAGTCAGATGCAGAAGAAACAAGATGAGAATGCCTTATTGAGTAAGGTACCAAGACGTGGCTAAACACAGATGAAAATTATGGATTAATTTGAGTTGTAAGTGCTAGTTAGCAATAAGCCTGAACAATAGGCCAAAGAGTTTATAATTAATATAAGCTTCTGTGTGTTTATTTTGGTTCTGAATGATTGCAAGACCATTTGGGGCATAAACTTGTAGGGGAATATGTTACAAGTGTGGAGTTGCAGATATTGTGACTTATAGGGAAGTCAGACTACACTTAGAGCCACAATAGGACAGCTGTGGAGGCTGGAGCTCAAAAGGACAGCTCAGTCCTGGAGGAAAGTTATCCTTTTTATTTTATTTTATTTTTCCATTCAATTATTTATACTTCCTTCCCTCCTTCCAATCCCCTCCCGCTCCCCCATATCCCCTCCTCCCTCTCCCACCCTACTTGAGAGTGGTCAGGGAATCC